ACCAAAACAATTGAAAGAGAAATATTCTTTTTCAGGCGGTTGGTTCACAACGCCTCCGGATACGCCGCAGCGAACCAGTACTAAACAGGAGCGATGAAGGCCACAGACACTCGCAAATCTATGATGAGGTGTTAAACAAAGCGTAGCCAAATTTACAACGGTACATAAGTTGATCTTTACCATCTTGTATACTACGTACGTCAGTGCTGGTACGCTTCAGACTGGTCATTTTCCTGATGAATGTGACAGTGTAGTCATCAAAATGTCGCACACAAATCTTCTACTGGTTGTGTAATAAGAACTTGTGTTCTATACATATTGTTGCATTGTCGCTCAATGCGTGTCACATGCTGTCACGAAAATGAATATTTGAGAGCATATGGTCGCATGAGGACAATATATTCTTCAAAAAAATAGTGACGTGATGTTCTGCGTCTTCTTTTCTTAATAATCGATGACTTCAGAATTAAAATTAAAATCCATGTAGATAATGTCTCGCCTGCTCGGATGAGTCCAAAACACCTCCAGGAATACTGTCTTTTCTCCTCACAACTGCAAGAGTCCGTCCTGCGAAACATCCATTTTCCATTTTCATTGCTGACGCTGATGTGTTCCCTTTTGTTTGGATTTTGTGCTATTTGTCATTTCTCCAGTTGTTGTGTTGTGGTATGATGTTATGATGTATGATATCAATTTTCTATCTTATTTACTTACCATAAATTCTAAGATTGCTGTAAGCCTAGTCCCTTATTTGGGAACTTGACTTTACTTACCTAGTATGGCTAATGTAGTCGGTGAAGAAGAAGACGCTTAATCCTTCAAAGAAATGGTCGTATTGTCCTTGTCCTTTTTCAGGAATCTCATTGGTTATTGGTCTTCATATTTTGCTCTAGTTTTATTGAATTTGAGTTTGCATTATGATTGTCTTGACATGTTGATAATTTCGTGTTGTTATAGGATTGCAGATGTATAACATGTCACTCATTTCCTTTAAGTAATGTATGAAGATTCAAAAGAGGAACAGTAAGTTAGCTGTATATTCGTCTTAAAGTAGAACTTACCACGTATCGAAAAACACTAAATGAATGTGAAAACGATCAATTGTTTTGTAACATCACTCCTGTTGTAGATGTTGTAGACATGGCCAAATTATGTTCTTGGTATCATCATCTAATACTGGTTATAGATTGGACATAGTGTTGTTCTTGGCTAAAATCTGCTAACGAATTCATTTAAATTGCAAATGACTTTTGTTAATTAAGAATTGTATATTCATTAACATCATACACCAAGAAATATATTTGACATCTCGCACGGAGTTTGTTATCCTGCGATCTTGTTGACCAGGTCAGTTAAGACTTTTTCTTGAGGGGTATCTTTATCACCTAATACCTTTTAGAAAGTAATCGTCGCCATAGATTTTCTGTCCTGATATATTTGTGTAAGACACACATCTGAACATAACATTTTGAAATATATGATTAGTAATAGATACAGAAAATTCCATTTAATTAATATGATTCCCTTACACAGCTGTATCATCCACAGGGGAAACTCCTCGATGGTCGTGTACCTGATTTCTTGGTGTACATAAATAATTTATTAAATGTCTTTGTTTGGTCCAATATTGTTTCCTGAAACGAAAGATAAGATGTCAAATGAGTTTTGCATCTGTCTACAATACTGAATGTGTGGTTTTCATGAGAGTTAAAGGTTTAAAATCATCGGCTAGTTTTTTTAAGTCATCTGAGCAGGACATACCTGCCTTATCTTTTACATTTAAATTTTATAACTTTGTTTTAGAATTTTGTTAGTACACTCATGTATTATGTTTTAAATTTTCTGGATATTATAACATATGTTAATCAATATAGAGGAGATAACCCTCCCCTGAGGGACTATCAAGTAGTTTCGATTACCCTGACTTGAATATACACGTCTTTCAAGAATCTAGTTATGAATCTAAGGATGTTACCAGATATAGCAATTTCTTTTAATGGTCATCGAAATCCTTTACATGCCAGACAAGATTGTAAGCCTTATTAAGGTAAAAGAATAAAGCTATATTATGGTGGCTGTTGTGTGTTTTCAATCTCCAACGTGATTATGATCAGCGAGTCTGGTGCAGACTCGTTGTTAATTGCTAAGCAATATAGATATCAGATGTTTATCATCCTATCTTGTCTTTTACCTGTTGGGATTATCTTTACCCAGTCTGTGGATAGGTTTAACAATAGTGTTATTTCCAGATTTCTAAATTTGATTTCCATATTGCATTGAAAAGGTTTTGTTTTGAAGGATATCGTTAAGGATATCTGGATAGTATTTAAACTGGTATGAGATAGATCATAAATTGTTTTTTAGTATCTAAATAAATCGGCTATCCAAAGGTCTTATGTATTTCCGTTTGGTTATTCAGAAACAATATAAGTTAAATTTAATTTAATTCGTGGTGGATAGTACTTGCGTTAAGTCTCTCAATTACATGTGATGCGTTTTGTTATAGTCTAGTTCCACAACTGGTTGTATTCTCCGTCTTTGGGTTTCTTGATATTTTGGAAAGTATTTGGATGCAGCAGTATAGTGTCAGATTGTGTATGCATTTTGTCTATTATAAAATGTATACCTTTTATTAAGATATGTGACGTGCTGGCTACCGGATGTCAGTCTTACTTCATGAACTATGGCTAACGGTATTTTATCCACGCCGACTAGTGGATCGGCTGCGATGACATAGAGAGAATACATTGGAAAGTAGGACCCTACCATCTGTATTCTATGCAACTTTTCATTAAAATTCTGAACAGCGATGGCAATGAATAAGTTATCGACAAATCAATGTATACATCACAATACGTTTATGAAATAAAATACATTGTACAAAAGGCACAAAAGTGATTAGCACATTTAAATACAAATTTAGAGTTAGATACATAAGAGCCAACAATGAATTTACCTGCATCACAGAGCACAAATCGATCGAAAGAAATATCAAAATCTAGATGTGGGAGGTGCATTAGCCTGTGTATATTCTGATCTGCACAACTATTTGAATTAGATAAAAAGTGGCAATGACGTAACGGCAATTTCGGTGACTAAACGTCCACCAGTAGTGTCTACCACTTTCAATCTCGAAGATAGTCAAAGAGATACAAGTGAATCGCACCTTTAATACATTGTTTAGGTTATCAGAGCCAAACAATTAATTAAACTGCGTTATGCAGCCGTTTCGTCCTTCTAGGATTCGCCATGCTATCAACATGTCGTTGATATGTTTGGAGATATTCAAGTGTTTAAGGAAAATTGTCACGAACATTATCTAATAATATGTGTACAAAGACAACAAATATATACCAATTTCTCTTTCTGTCCTTCTTTAAAGTTTAGTACGCAACAGTTTCGATACAATCGCAAATGTATTCTTATGAAGATCATTTTATAATACTGGTTTTTTTGTAAAAATAAATCTTAACTGGTTTTTGGAAATAATGCAATGGCCGTTTTTCTATTACTAAAAAATCCAACTTCATTGAATATGGGGTTAGTTCATCTCTCAATCTATATTTTGACATTTCCTTTGATAAATTTGAATTTTCATCAGTCTCGGCTGCAGAGTTTATCATCAGTGACGAGGCTTAGAAGGACGAAACAGCTGTATGACATAGTATAATTCATTGTTTGACTCTACTTTTTCTAACTCTAAATCTATATTATAATTGCTAATCACTTGTGTATCCTTTGTACAATCTTCAAGATTGCAAGGTGGTTGACACTGATGGAAGACTTCGGTCCCCGGGGTTTGCCGTACCCTACATGCCATGTTTTGTTTTAATCGAATAGTGGCGCGGTTCAGAATAAACACTTGTTCACATATGTGAACTGACACGTCAAAGAAACGCAACCGCTAAATGTTTATAACAATATTACTGTTTCATTCAAATATGTTATGTTTTTCAACTAATCAAATACTAAGATTGATTTTACCATATCACCAATGCGGCGAAACAATGTCAAGGTTCAAGAGGGAGTAGTCATTAAATTTCCCCAGTCTCAATAACAAGTATGTTCCCCATACGGCGTACCCGCTGAAAGATTTTTTTATCTCTCTGCATCATATATTTTCATTTCGATGCGGTTACTTGAAATGAATGATAATCCTTGAATATCATACACATGAGCTTCTATATACGTTAGAGAATGTTGCATTATTTATATCATTGCAACAGCGGCAAGTTCCATTGTACAACCATATTGCTCCGGAATTTTTATATGGACTATCTTTGAAAACTCCCACACAAGAAGACAGCTCCAGGAGCTGATTGTTATTTTTTTCTACTTTTTGTTGATAAATATATCATGCAACATTGTAACTAGATGTCTTACCTGGCTACTCAAATTGAAAAACATGTTTGTTTACATGACATTATCATATTTAATAGTATTGTTTTAAAGATGTTATCAAACATGCAACAACTACACACAATAAAAGAAGTAACAAGACGGGGTACTCTTGCAGTATTGTAATTGCCATGTGTATTATCAATTAAATGCAAAAATTGTAGGTGTATGTTTAATATCTAAAGAGTAAGTAACGCAGGTACAAATATGAAATAATGATGATAGTGATCTTGTAATACTGTACATTCTTTATATTAGTGCAAATTTTCTTTTGAAGACCACAAATCTAGCAGTTATTGATAGACGATAGCTGCGCGTGCGTGCTTGCGTGCGTGCGTGACTGAGACATTCCTTTAAAAACGGAATGGCATTATCAAAACTGAATTATTTCGAAGGCTGTAATACTTGATATGGTTGTTTGGATGGGTGAATAGGGATGGGTTCACCTTTTCTCTTAACACACAAACGGTAAAACAACGTTCATTGTAAAGAGCCTTTATTGACTTGTTCACGCAATACTTTGTTATATCAGGGTCATAACAACAATTAAAGCACAGCACAATAATACTGGTGTATCATAAAAGTTTCGATATTTTTCAAGATTATGGGTAGTCGCACACTAACATTGTTTGGTTAAACACTAAGTTACTTGGACACCAGTACAAGAAAGCCTCTCCATTGGAACACTTGTAAAAGTTTCTGTTGTTTCTAGGATTTGGGTATGGTCCATCAATCGGTTGAACATCACAATCGATGTGCGCTGCAAAAATAGTAAAAAAAAATGTTTAAATGTTGAAGTATAAATTAATACATAAAATAAGATTTATAAACAGACAGTGGTGTGCACGGTACCTTGTACATTGTCAGATACAGGGCTACAGAAAATCTAATTTTCGACATTCTGACAGGTCAGGATATATGCTGAGCTTCGAAGAAGACATTTTCAATGAAATGAGCGTTATTGGTTATCATTATTCATTCGTTGTTTCTGCTATCCATGTCTCACTGCACTGTATACCTAGTATTCTGTTATTTTATATATTGACAAATAAAATATCAACAATAGTGTTACCTTTCTATAAACTATAAAAAAACGAAAAGTACTTTACAAACGCCGCACTGATATTTTCGTATACAGGGTCCGTTACGAATTGGTAATATCACGGGCCTAATTACAATTAGTAATAACTCTTCTAGATCTGAATCTGTATGATTTTCATTTAGAGCAGACCCATATCGCTGCTGATAAAAGGCCTTCCGAAGTCATTGCCGTAAATTGCTTACGTCCAGGTGTTGTGGTAGACGACATTGTCGTTGATTCCTCGGTTGTACTATCAGTTGTAACTTTATCTGTGACCGAACCGCTAACGTAACCAGTCAACATGTCCTTAATTGTATTGATAAGAGGGGATGGACTAGTAGAAGACGCGCATGTCTGTCTGAAGTCATCCAAATCCATAGACCATACCATTGCGCCACCAAATCCTTCATTTACCAGCCATTGCACCTATTCACGACATTTATATAAACTTATTTAAAAAAAGGAACCTTTCATTATGTTTTCAGTTTATCTCCCGTATTTATGGAGAGCACATCCTGCTCGAAGTGTTCTACTGGACATTATTATTATACACAGTATAATACTTATATATATCTTCACAGGAATCTACCATGACATATACCATGAAATATCTATATCTTAAATTAATGTACAATTACTTTTTATCATAATACTTAAAGCTTATATCAAGACTTCATATTATTCATTTAACTGGTACTCTCACAATAATCTGCCGTACAAGGTGTTATACATGCACAACCTACATATTGTTGTCACATATATCATAAACCACTATGTAATATAAAATGAAATCAACATCGCGGCAGACAAAGGAACATTTTATCCTTCATAAAGCATAATTTAAAAATGACCAAACCTTGTTAGCTATGCTCTGTTCGTCGTCGTAACCAATCCACAGACGGTCATACACATAGTAAGGTACACCTGATACTCTCATCACATTGCCATTTCCATCATCGACTAAATCACATATCTGACATAAACCAATATGTACATACTATAGAGCAATCAAAATACAAAAATACGTCAATTTTCAACACCTTTATACGAAACGATGTGAACAACTTTAATGCAAATATATATATTTCGAAAAAAATACATATATATATATATATATATATATATATTATTGAATGTCAGATAAAAAAATCCTTACCTCGTAATATGCTAAGAAACCGTCCTCGTCGGTCAAATTACCAGCGGGGTTTGGTCCATCAATCCAAGCTCCAATACTATTATCGGGTGCATATGACAATTCAAAACCTCTCCCAAATGTGGCCATTCCTATATTGATCTTCTCTTTGTCGACTCCTAGCATGTGCCAGTACTTTCCAGACCACTCCTGATAGACCGAAAAAGATTATATGTTATGTTCCATTGAGGAAAAAAATCAACAGTTCGGTTTTATTTTGGATGGTCATGTTCTTTCAAGCACTCCAATTATGTAACACGATATGTTAATTAACTTTTGTTCTACTTTATTATATACAACGTCGATTTAACACATAATATTTGTTTTTAAATTCATATGTTCTTTTAATAGCATTTATATTCAAAACTTTGTGCTGTGAATCGGCTTCAAAGCACAGTTCGATAAATATTCAGAATAATATCATTTGCATAAAAGATACACGTTGCGTATGATCATAAGAAGATTTCAAGGTTTCCGAACCTTAAAAGGCAAAATTCGACTTTAAAAACTCGCTTCGTAAGTTAATTTCCTTATCGTATTAAGACTTATTGTACAATATACCATGTTGAGGTTAGCGTCTGGTCCAGTTTCCCATGGGAACGGCTTCAGCTGACTATGATGGCCGGTTTGCCAATCCCAGTAACCACGCATGTCAAACGTCTGGAGACTCAGGAAATCCAAATTACTGCAACATGATTTTTACTGTCAATACATTGTATGAATTCGCCTTGTTGATTTTACATTTCTAACTCCCTATTGAAGATTATATAATTTCGACATACATTGACATATCTGCATGAATCAAAACGATCTACTGAAGTTGCCAACTTGGGTACCATAGTGCATGATTCGCACGAAATTTACTGGTGTCGTTAACATGTCATTCGAGAGCGCCACATTATATAATTTGATTAAGTACGAGTATCGCCAATGAAGCAGAAGATGCTTACTCTTCTAATCACCTCGTTCTATTTCATTGGTCTCCGTATAAATCAATCTTTGGTTCATCAATGTCACTCGTTTCGTTGCTTGAGTTAAAATTACCATTTTGTACACATTTCCTTAATGTTGTGGAGCTTTAATTCTTCAACATCGAAAGAATACTACCGATGTTAGTTTTGATATGTTTCTTTATCATATACTTGATAATCGTATCGGCAAGAAGATGTTATTGGCTGAACGATGGCCGTGTAAATTTATAAGAAATTCATGAACCATATATTTTGAAAAACTAACGTTTAATGTGAAGAAGAAAAAAGAAAACATAGGTGTGCGAACAAAACCTTCATCCAAATTCAATTTCAATGATATATTGACAAAATATGTACATAAGAAAGAATGACTCGTAAACTTCTAAGAAAGTACAAGGAGGAAAAGACCAGATGTTCTGGAAGAGTATGTATAGTCTACCTCATCAACGACAACTGCCGTTAAAATATTGGTCAATCTAAGAAAGAAATGGCATGTTTCAAAAAGAGAACAGTGTGAAAAACAACGGAAGGCTATTCAGGTGGTTGAATTTTCAGACACCTGATTAAGATGCATTTTTTTCTAGAACATATCACCTTTATGAAAAAAAAGCATATCGATTTATTAACAGACTCCAAATATTAACACGGAGACCCCGGAAAATCACAAGGAGAAAGGTAAGCCTTATATGATTTTAATGTTGTCTTACTCTGACAAAGCCTTCACGTCGTAAGCATAGTCAATGTGTTCCTGTTCCGCAGCCACGGCAGCCGTCAACAGCAGTTTTTTTACAGGGTACCTTCGGGGTTCGTTATCGAATTCCCGTCTCTGACCAGTAACTGAAAACGTCAAATATACCAATCAAATATACAACAGTAGAAAAATATACAATGGAATTCATAAGAATCAAATATACAACATTACCAAAAAACACTAGTCAAATATACAACATTACCAAAAACCACTAGAATCAAATATACAACATAACCAAAAAACACTAGAATCAAAAATACAACAGTACCAAAAAACACTAGAATCAAATATACAACATTCAAAAAAACACTAGAATCAAATATACAACATTACCAAAAAAACACTAGAATCAAATATACAACATTACCAAAAAACACTAGAATCAAATATACAACATTACCAAAAAACACTAGAATCAAATATACAACATTACCAAAAAAACACTAGAATCAAATATACAACATTACCAAAAAACACTAGAATCAAATATACAACATTACCTAAAAAAACACACCAGAATCAAAATACATAACCTAAAATACAACACCAGAATCAAAATACATTGCAATGCTACCGCACATCTGTACGCAAATCGTGCAATTCTATCGTGGTTGATATAAGTTTAGAAATTACTTATACAAAAGTGTGGATGGGGTTTATATATACTTAATCATAACTACACGAGTTTTCGGTTGAATTTCAATCAGTAATATAGGCCAACCATTTTTACCAAACCGCACAAACGTTGGACCCTATTGTATATTTGTACACTCTATACTGTGTATAATAACTACAACCTGTTTCTCTACTGCCGTGTAAATATGATATACCATAACACTTCTATTAGTTATAATCTTGATATTTGTATACAAGCAGAAAATATCATCGAGGTGATTTGGGTTGGTTTTCACATATTGATGTTTCTCACTTAACATAAGCATATGACTATGAATATAACAGTAAGTATTTAAAGTAACATGTAAAACGTGTATTGTTATAATGGCATTGAAAGAAACAAAACTGCATATGTCTATCCGAAGCAATTTGCAGCTGTCAAGATGACAATGTGATTTCTGGAGATGCATATTATTCTGTTTGCTATAGAATGGTGCTTTCCACTGCAATTTTGTTTTCTCTAATATATGACCACTTTATGATGCAACAGACATCAAGGCTTTTCCTGTGTTGTAGCAGCTATTTGGATAGGATAAAGTACATTCTAATCAATTTAACATTCACAACAACTCGGGGATTTCGAGTTTATCGGTTGTGTGTCAACCCACTATGGTCACCACCTCCCCATTCCGATATCATAATTTTCTAATATAACTACACAAAAGAAAGCAATTGGTATCAACGAAGTCAGCAATGAATAATTCACTTAGCATACATTATCTACTTACATCTAGTAGAATTCCAAAATTCTTTTTATCCGTGTCTGCTGACCCCTGTCTTTGTGTTGGGTACTGCCAAGCTAAATCAAGGCCGTCAAACGCGTAAAGACGCAGGAAGCTAATGACAGAGGCGGCAAAGTCTCGCCTTCGTTTTGGTCCTGAAACCATGTGAGAAAACCTGGAACTGCCCTGCTCCCAGCCTCCAACAGACAGCAACACTTTCAGATCTGGGTTATTAGTCCTAAGTTTTGTAGCGTTATGGAATCTGTTTAAAAGTACAACGGTAATAGACAGGTGCCTTATATCTTATTAATACCATATCCTGTGATCGCGACATCCTGAACCAATCAATCGTGATCCCTCAATACAAAGGTATCAAACTTTATTTAAAAACATTGATATGGGTGTAGGATAAACCAGATTGTATCTGGATACAAATAGTTCAAGTCAGCATGAATTGCTATGTAAGCACAGTTGAGGTAAAGTATACATTAATATCGTCTACACATTGGTGTTTAAATTACAGTGCATTAAGCTATAAATTTACGTGACATTCTATTTCTACATGTTTGATTCCACGCTAAGGTGTGCCTATTTCGCAGCCGTAGTTATTACTCTATAAGGAGGGAGTTGTGAATAACTACTACTTCCATACGCATCATTAGTAACCACACATATACTTCTTACGTGTAGGTGTCGTTTAAGGTGGAAGCCTGTATCTGATTGTCGTCCGATATCTCGGCGAAGGCAACTATCACATGAGTACATAGGAATTCATCGACTTCATTGACAGTAAATCTACCAGGTCCATAACGGTCCGCTGCCCACGTTGAGAAATAACACACTCGCCTGTACTCTATCAAAAGTAAGAATTCAGTATTTGATTTGTGGTTACACTGCTCCATAATGTTGAAAACAACCAAAGGAGACACAAATTCATATGTATATACTCTTAAATATCCTGGCTAATGCGTACCTCTTGGGGCGACAGCTTCATCAAATATATCTTTTATAGTGTTGATAAGAGGAAATGGTCTTCCGGAAGAGTTACAATGTTCAGAAAAATCATCCATTGACAATCCACGTATTGAACCGCCTCCGTAACCTTCCTCAGTTATCCAGTTTGTCTACAAATTAATGACACATGAATTTACCGAAAGTAATATTAGTGAGATTACTAAATCTAAAGAAACACAATTACATGCAACAAGCGTTTCTACAACAGAAAATAAACAAATACAGAAAACAAAATAACACTTCAAGGGAGGAAATCATAACAACGGATACTAGATACCGGACAAAATACAACTGTAGGAAACGAGGCCAGGTTAAGTAACGCAAGGATAAAAATAGCTGTGGAGCCAATGCGACAATTAAGCTGAAGGGGAAAACAACTACGGAGCAGAAATGATTACAAAACAAAATGAAATACAGCAAGAAACAAGGAAGCGATACTAAAACAGAACAGTGACAATTAAAGAAAACAAAACATTAAAACCGAAGGAAAAATAACAGCAGGAAACGAGGTGACACTAAATCATAGGAAAAACAGCAACTGGAAATGAGACGACAATGAATCACCTAGGAAATCAAACTAAAGAAATAATCGGGATGACATCAAATGAAATACAACACCGATAACAAACGTGATACAAAAAAAGAGTAAAGGTATATATATATATACATGTGAATATAATCTTAAAATTCAATTAGGGCAAAAGATGAGCGAAAGAAAGATTTACACGGAGACCCCGAAAACAAGTAGAATTAGACCATGTGCTTAGGAAAGATAAGCTTCTTCTGTGTCATCAATGACTCTGACATGTAAACCTTGGTCGATCCAAGTAATTTATATCACGTTTTCAAATGAGAACACTTTGTACAAAAACGGAGCCAAGAGGCAGACTAACGGGAACCAAACTCTTTAACATTTGTGATATTACGATTTGCAAACTTGCCTTTTCTGTAACGCTTTCGATATCGTCATAGCCAACCCACAATAACCCGTTAACATAGTATGGCACTCCCTCATCACGGAACATACTGCCTGTGCCGTCCTCCAGCAATTTACAGATCTGAAAAATGTTTATAAAAAACGTCTATCAAATATCGTAATAATGTTTTCTATGATATTATACTTTTTTTGCTCAAATCCAGAGACCATGAAGCATACTTGTAAGTAAAGACGTTTTTTCACATACAGCGGAATATTTGCAAAAGCCTTGCTTCAATATAGCTATTTTAGTAACGTTTAGAACGTACTTCAACTATGAAGATGATATAACCATGTAAAATATGTGTTGATTACGTCTATACATTGCATATAAGCCTCTTAATCATCTATATACTTTAACATAGAAATGAGTGAAATATAATAGAGTGTATGATGATTTACCTCATAATAGCCTCTAAGCCCGGGGGTTTCAGTGGCACTAGATTGGGAAGCAAGTCCAGTGACAGCGGAACCCAAATCGAAGTCACTACTGTTTACTAATTGATAAGCACGTCCAAAGGTAGCAATGCCAATATTCATGCTCGATTTAGGAATTCCAAGGAAAGCTAGATAGTCAGCTATACCTTTCTAAATGAAAAGAAAATGTGAATTTAAGTCGAGGAACTGCAAGGGTTCTGATATATTTTACCTGTAACCGACAATGCTTTAATGTTATCGTTGGCTTGGATAAGTAAAGGCTTTCTGTGAAGTATTTACAGAACATTTGAATATATTTCTTAAGACTGAATGTAGGCTCGTGGCAATAAGTCGGTCGACTATGCCAGGTAAACATAAATAACTTTTCGTTTTGAAAATTTGATCCTAGGGAGACTTTGTTTTCTTGAGTAGAAGAAAAAACCAGTAAACAATATCTGAAGACGAAGTGGCGTGATACAGAAAAAAAAAGAAATGGTTAAATTAGATTTTCATACCATGTTGAGGAATTTATCTTTGCCAGTGGCATCGCTTCTTGGTACTCTACGACTGTGATGTCTTGTCACAGAATCGTCTGTCGCGTCAAACAAATTCCAAGTTTGAAGAGTAATAAAGTCGAAGTTCCTTTCAAAACAACAAGACATGATAGCAATTAGTTAAAAGGGAAGTTGAGTTTTACCTTTTTACATTATTAACTTCAATAAGATTACCAAATATTAGTCTTTTTAGTTTTTCGGACATCGATAGCGCCCGAGCAAAGGTCTTTACCGTTAACAATCAACATCAACAATTATCAATTAAAAACTACACAACAGAACTTGGTGCTACAGAGGAAAGCTCTTCCGAAAATGGAAAAGCATGAAGGATATGTGCTCTAACTACCCGAAGCTAATTTTGAATGAGAAATACTGTGACAACATTTCCGGTTTTCTGAGGTCGGGTGACATTTTTTTATTCTTACTTTACATAAAGATGATTTACTCAAATGCTATAACGTCGGTGTAACAATTATTGTGCGATTAATTACTCGCCGTAGCGCGACGAATTTCCTTTATGCTGGTAGAAATAACAAGTTAATTAGCATTTTTTTGTGTTTTGTTTTGTTTTTTTTTTTTTTTTACTTTTTTTTTCAGAAATAATCAACACAAAATGCAATTGAGGCATATTAGCTCCGCTTTTTCCAGGCACTGCCAGACTCCTATTACCATAGGCTCAATATATGTTTTTGTAGACCGAAAAATTAATCAATCTTAAGCCAGAACTGTTGTCGTGAACAGGAGAAAAAAATATCTCATGCAACGTCATGAAATAATAACAAATTCATAGCTTATAACTTCATCTAATTTTACATGAAATTCTCTATAAAATCACAACATATAGATCATCACTCACAATGCTGTTTCCTTGATAGTGCTCAACTCATAGTTATTATTGAAATCGTCAAGAAGAGGCCCCACGAGATCAGCGGTGAACAGAAATGTGTCGTTAGTGAGAGAAAATTCATTGTCGAAAGCCTGGCGAAGTTCCTGTGATCAAAACGTAGTCAATGTTTAATTTATCAGAGCAAGTACCTGTTAAAGATCTATATAGGCAGATAAACTCTTGTGATTCCAATTATTATTGATACAATATTCTTGTACGTATACATCATCTTGAATTGTTCTTATAATAAAGTGAGATGGATGGATGTACAGACAATTATACCCGTATAGTTGGAGATACCAACGTTCGGATGGACAGAAGGAAGGAAAGACAGACATATCTAGAGTATGCAGTTAAGAACAGAATACGGTGTGCACGACGTGTACACAATGCATGGTATGTGCACGATAGGAAAACAGGACGAAATTTGCTGTTGCACAATGGTGTGCACGGCGTGCGGTTCCGCGACACAAATGTGCGATTCTGTCCTGGTTCATATGAATTTAAAAATAACTTATGAATAAGTATGGGAGATGGTTTATTTATTTCTAAATATTCAATGGAACAGCTAAGTATATTACCTTATTACGCAATCTGTTTATAGGTCAGATACTTTAAGATATATCAGGTGCTGACGAAATATTTATAGACATTCGTAATTACGAACAAGTTTAGTGTAAAGACACTCGTCTATATGGATGTCTATTTTAGTCACGGTAATGAATCCTCTATAATCGTATTACGCCAAACTGAATGTTATTTTATTTCCCGTAATATTAAACTTATTTATTATACAACAATCGGATTGGAGCGCGAGAGGGGTCTTACTGTTGGAAAAACCTACGTGGTCGGCCTGGTGACAAGAAAAAAATGTATATTCAGGTAAATTTAAGTGCTGTGCTTGATATACTGTAGTCCTAGACGGAACGCACCTGTCACCTATACACTCGAGTACAGGTTCGTTGCCTGTGGCTCACTCGCCACTCTCTGAGGTGTGAAACTATACACGAAACTAGTTACGCAAGGTCCGGATGTATTTTGATAAGTGTCAAACTTAAAATGACCTTTATAATAATCGATCAATATCTAATACGCCTATGGTCTGTTTTAATTCATAGCTACACAAGTTTTCCGTTTAATTATAAATTCGTCATTGAGCCAACCATGTTAACCAAACCGCACAAAATATGCCGTACATACTGTATCGTATGAGTCTGTAAACGATGTGAACACGAAGTTTTTGTGTGTTACCACAAATGTGAAATGAAAACCAGAGTACCGTGGTAAACAGACAAATAATAGATATAAGAATATTGAAGTATAAAGTTAACGAGGTAATCAAAAACACATCGTTTGAAAATGCTAGTATAAAAAAGCGAGGCAAACACATACATACATTAAATGGAATACTAGAGTTTAAAATAACCGAGGTAGGCAAACACATGTTATAAGCAGAAGACTTAAATAAACGAGGTAAGGAAAGACATACAATAAAACAAATATTAGAGTATAAAATCAAAAAGTTTTGCTTGTTTTTTTTTTCATATTTACCGTGCTCATTAATTTGAAGTTACTAGAGCTTCCACGCCATTGAAGAGAAAGGCCACCGAAATTGTATTTTTTCAAGAATGGGATGACACTGTTGATGAAAGTGGTTCGATTCGTTGAATCCACCGCCATATTGTCGAAATCGCCAGGATCCTGTTCTGTTAACAGCACCAACGTTTTCAGGTCAGGGTTAATCAGTGTGAGGTTGTTCATTAATCGATAGCTGAAATACAGACACTTATTATTAAGACTGGAATTTTTGTTTCGTCCGACAACTTTACAAAATTAACACTTCTAATTTTATGATTATCCATTTACTCTCCATATTCACATTAGTGATAAACCTGAAATTAAAGAAGAGCCGATTCTAAACAAGTATGAAGGGACAGTACATTATTGTTTTTCCAATTATACAGTTGTGGGTTCGCATTTTGTTACAAGATGTGCGCACGATGTCTGCGCGACGTGTGCACAACAGGAAAACTGGACACGACTTGGTATCGCACATTTGTGCGATTTTATCGTTGTTGATATAAATTTAGAAATGCCTTATGGATAGGTGTCGAATAGGGTTTATTTGTTTTACAAAAGATAGGGGAGCACAGCTAAGTATATTTCCTAATTAAGCCATATATTTATAGGTCAGACACGTAAACATCTACTAGGTGCGTACTGAATAGTTGTATGCACTCTTAATTAAGATAAATGATTTACAAAGCGCCTTACATGAACCAGTCTTAGCGTACAGACACTCATTATATTCACAGTATATATATATAAACATTAAAATGAACGTTTTTTTCTCAGCAAGGAATCATCTAAAATCGTATACCGTCAGAAATGGACGTTTAATTTACATAACGTTTGTACTTATTTTATATACTAAGGCAAGTTTTAAGTGTTGTGTCTCTCATACGAGATCTAGCAAGCACAAACCTGTCACGTGCTTGCCACTGTCTGAGGTGTGAAACTATACCTTACAGAGACTAACCAACTTGTATTCCGGTTGTACTTCAATAAATGTAACATCGAAATGACATTCAAATAATTGTCAACATTTAATACGACTTTGATCGCTATTTAGTCACAACAACACGAGTTTTCCGTTTAACTTCAAATCCCTAATATAAATCAATCATTTTGACTCAACTGCTCAAGACGTGTGATCCTATCGCACAGTTTAGCGCTAAATATTGTATAGTGTGTGTATACGGACGGGGTGCGGACGATGTATGCACTACAAGTGGACGATGTATGCACTAAGTGCGCATAAAGAATTTGGTGCGGTAAGCGATTCTACGACGACTATAACTTCTGATGTCGTATCATACAATTCTGAACTAAAAGTATATATAATGATCACGTTCGACTCTTAATGGTTCATGTGACTTTGTTCAAATGTCTTCATTTTTATGCTCTTTTCGGTAAACTTTTGTACTACAATGATATAAAGTCACATGGTGAAACACAACAACAGCTGAAGCATTATTATCATTATTGAGATTCAGATTGAACAAGTAGATACTTTTATGATGTAAGGCCTGATATATATATATAACTAAATCGTAAGTAAAATTTGCTTTCTAAAACTTGTATGTGTTGAATGATGTCTTTGATAAAACACCAGTTACAAGTTACGAAAGTATAAAAAAATATATTACTATTTAGTAGGTTCTTACTTATTTGTATCCACCATTAACCGTCTGTAAATCTCCCATTTGTTGTTTTTCCTTACTATGGCGTGTGAGAATATCAGATGAGTACAAAGGAAAGGGTCTATCATGTCTGGTGTCAATAAGGCGTCACCCGTTCGTTGGGCGGCCCAGCCATCATAGAAACAAACACGACGGAATCCAAACGCTGTTTAACAAAATAATATTTATCAGTGCAATAAACAAACTGTGAATAAATATTGCTGTTAAAGATTTATGTGAAATAAATCACTACTTCAATATTACGTAAAACATGATCGGTAGAGCAGTTCGAAAAATGACGATTTTATAGTATATGTCGAGAAAATATTAAGATATCTAAATTTATACCTTAAACAGATTCTAATAAATCAATACGAACCTTATGTGTAATAAAATCGATCAGTATAACTTACTTTACACATATTGATATATGAAACGGTTTATTGATTAGACATATTTATATATTTACAATTTAGTTGAACAAAATTGTATTTTAATTTATTGAAAAGAGGTCTGTTATAGTTATTCTGATCACTTAATGATAAGACATCCTGATTCATATTTCATACGTTTTGTTTTGTTATTCTTAACCTTATTGAAAGTTATGTTTAGTAACAGAAAAAAATACTCACCAAATTCCGACAAATAGAAAATTACTACTACACACAGAAGTAATCTAAGGACCGCCATCCTTCCTCTTCTGTGGTCTGGTCACCTGGTCAAATTTGTTACTTTCACCGTGTTTATGGCACGGACTTCGAGCAAACCTTTATATACATCAAAACTGCCTTCAATAGTGACCAATAGCTATGTATTAACTGGACTCACGTGTCACACCCTCAAGCTGCTTTTATATAAATTTGCGTAAAACCATTATAACAAGCTGTGTAATGTCAATTAAAGATTTTGTTCGATAACATATTCTAAAGCTTAAATTTTACTTTTACGTCATCGAATGTATTCATTCATTAATGACACATAATTTAATTGTAAAATGTAACGAAAATGGCATGGTAGAGTGTAACCACTGTTTCATTTTTTAAAAAAACAAACGTATCTAATTATCATTTTTTTGAAAATGAAACAAACAATTGTTTAATTTCCAGTTCGTACACGTCTCTGTGCTTGTGTACTTACGTAGCACATGGGTTCAAAAGATGCAGATTGATAAACATTAAAAGGAAGTTTTATGGTCGCCATATTGATTTCTTTGAGAAATATTCTATTTCTTTGTGTGACACGAAGCTGAATATATTTGATGCTCGCTAGTTTGCCTGTTGGTTCCGTTTTATATACGTTGTTCTCATTTGAGAATGCGACATTACGTACTTGGATTGACCAAGGTTTATATAGCACGTAACGTCGATGAAGCAGAAGACGTTTACTCTTCCGGAACACCTGATTTTATTCTCCTTGTACGTTTTCAAGAATTTCCGTGTGAATCTTGAGTTTAAATTATGATTATGTTTCCGTGCTGGTAGTTTCTTTTTTTATGCCATACTAATTATTTCTGTGATGGAAGATAGAGAATATAGTTACTATGATTAAGTTATGGTCTGTTATATTATGACAATCCAACTGCTCAAAATAAGAATCGTCACAGCTTTTTTTTTAAATAGATAGTTCATCATATTCACAAATCACGTTAAAAGTTAAGAATAATATATCAAAGACACCGAGCGAAGTACATGTTTAACACAACTTCTATTTTAATTAAAAGTATTGATACCAAAATATATATCGTTCAGTCGTCCTATTGAAACTATTCTGTGCGAATATGAGATTGATGGAATTTATATCTAAGATAAATGAACGAAAAAGACAAATGTCAATAGATATCAGATTCTATCTCAAGTAAATGGAAAATACATGTAAACAATGTCTGCGTTAACAAAAGTTGAGATATAACCTGATGTTCGCCAAAGATGTTACATATACAACACAACATATCGGATGTATCACAACTCGATACAAGTACAATATATTAACAGCATTGATTGGGGAAGCACGATTGTAGCTATCGAGAATGTAGAATATGAGAAATGAAATAATATGACAAAATGGTAAGTCTCTAGTGATTGTAAATCTGTCTGAAGGTAGCGGCTGATGTAGTTTATTTATACACTTTCTCTATAATCAACTTGTCATACTTCTGCCCTCTATCACCTACTTGTCATACTTCTGTCCTCTATCATCTACTTCTCATACTTCTGTCCCCATCACCTACTTGTCATACTTCTGTCCTCTATCACCTACTTGTCATACTTCCGCCCTCTATCACCTACTTGTCATACTTCTGTCCTCTATCACCTACTTGTCATACTTCTGTCCTCCATCACCTACTCGTCATACTTCTGTCTTCTATCACCTACTTGTCATACTTCCACCCTCTATCACCTACTCGTCATACTTCCACCCTCTATCACCTACTTGTCATACTTCCGCCCTCTATCACCTTCACTTGTCCATCACCTACTCGTCCTTCTGTCCTCTATCACCTACTCAAGTCATATTCCACCATCTATCACCTACTTGTCATACTTCCACCCTCTATCACCTACTCGTCATACTTCTGTCCTCTATCACCTACTCGTCATTCTTCCACCATCTATCACCTACTTGTCATACTTCCACCCTCTATCACCTACTCGTCATACTTCTGTCCTCTATCACCTACTTGTCATACTTCCGCCCTCTATCACCTTCAAGTCATACTTCTGAACTCCATCACCTACTCGTCATACTTCTGTCCTCTATCACCTACTTGTCATACTTCTGTCCTCTATCACCTACTTGTCATACTTCTGTCCTCTATCACCTACTTGTCATACTTCCGCCCTCTATCACCTACTTGTCATACTTCTGTCCTCTATCACCTACTTGTCATACTTCTGTCCTCTATCACCTACTTGTCATACTTCTGTCCTCTATCACCTACTTGTCATACTTCCGCCCTCTATCACCTACTCGTCATACTTCTGTCCTCTATCACCTACTTGTCATACTTCTGTCCTCTATCACCTACTTGTCATACTTCTGTCCTCTATCACCTACTTGTCATACTTCCGCCCTCTATCACCTACTTGTCATACTTCTGTCCTCTATCACCTACTTGTCATACTTCTGTCCTCCATCACCTACTCGTCATACTTCTGTCCTCTATCACCTACTCGTCATTCTTCCACCCTCTATCACCTACTTGTCATACTTCCACCCTCTATCACCTACTCGTCTTACTTCCACCCTCTATCACCTACTTGTCATACTTCTGTCCTCTATCACCTACTTGTCATACTTCTGTCCTCTATCACCTACTAGTCATACTTCCACCCTCTATCACCTACTTGTCATACTTCTGCCCTCTATCACCTACCTGTCATACTTCTGTCCTCTATCACCTTCAAGTCATACTTCTGAACTCCATCACCTACTTGTCATACTTCTGTCCTCTATCACCTACTTGTCATACTACTGTCCTCTATCACCTACTAGTCATACTTCCACCATATATCACCTACTTGTCATACTTCTGTCCTCTATCACCTACTTGTCATACTTCTGTCCTCTATCACGTACTACTTGTCATACTTCTGCCCTCTATCACCTACCTGTCATACTTCTGTCCTCTATCACCTTCAAGTCATACTTCTGAACTCCATCACCTACTTGTCATACTTCTGTCCTCTATCACCTACTTGTCATACTACTGTCCTCTATCACCTACTAGTCATACTTCCACCATATATCACCTACTTGTCATACTTCTGTACTCTATCACCTACTTGTCATACTTCTGTCTTCTATCACCTACTTGTCATACTTCTGCCCTCTATCACCTACCTGTCATACTTCTGCCCTCTATCACCTACAAGTCATACTTCTGAACTCCATCACCTACTCATCATACTTTTGTCCTCTATCACCTACTTGTCATACTACTGTCCTCTATCACCTACTTGTCATACTTCTGTCCTCTATCACCTACTTGTCATACTACTGTCCTCTATCACCTACTAGTCATACTTCCACCATATATCACCTACTTGTCATACTTCTGTACTCTATCACCTACTTGTCATACTTCTGCCCTCTATCACCTACAAGTCATACTTCTGAACTCCATCACCTACTCATCATACTTTTGTCCTCTATCACCTACTTGTCATACTACTGTCCTCTATCACCTACTTGTCATACTTCTGCCCTCTATCACCTACTAGTCATACTTCTGTCCTCTATCACCTACTTGTCATACTTCTGTCCTCTATCACTTACTTGTCATACTTCTGTCCTCTATCACTTACTTGTCATACTTCTGTCTTCTATCACCTACTTGTCATACTCTTGTCATCTGACTTTTACAACCGAGTTGTCACCCTTTTGAATTTAACTAGTCACCTGTCACACTACTCTATTTTACTGAATTTTCGCGCATATTATTTACGTATTTTATTTCAATCATTGCTCAGAATTTAAGAATGTAAAGCTGTATGGTAATGATATTTCTGTTGATAAAGAATATGTCTATTGTTTTATTACGATATAAAGGAACAAAGAGCCAGATGATACATCGATTTTTGAAGCAGTTTTTTGCCGCAATAACAACTCAAGTTACACTGTTTTTCGACATTTTATCCTATTTGTTGTGTGGTACTGTAAATGCACGTTGATCGACGAGCTTAGCAATCAACTACCGTGTAGGACATTATCGAAATACGTTTACAAATCGACGTTAATTGTTTACTTATTGTTATTCGAAATTGAAGATTCGTCATTACATAAGTATGCTTTGTGCTATAGCAGTCTTCCAAAGCCAGTGTCATTGTTTAAGACTTGCTTAATGTTATAAACTGATCCAGACACTTAACGGATCGTCGCCAGCGGCATTTCACAAATGCACGTTAAGTGTATGTCGGTAGCTAGAAGGCAAGACTGATCAGATCATAGTAAACAATTAACAAGAAATTTATATAATTGGCGCAGGCAGTGTTCTTCAATTTGTTCGGTAAATATGTCTGTCTTTGCTATTCCTACATTGTTCTATTGTAAAGACATGATGGTAGAAATAACAATGACTGTGTTTCCGGTTTCTACCTGAACAATATATATATGTCGAATATTAGGGTAGAAACACGTGTTTCTTTTACGTAATACGAACTACTATCAGGTTTTTCCATTGTTTTTTTTTTCGCGATAAACGTATGGGACCATTTAGAACCTCAGATTTTTTTTTCATTTATCAAATCCTACATTTATTTAAACTTTAAAACATCGAATGTGGTCGGACCATCATCACGATTGATAAGGCAGGCTATCACAATTTTCACTTCATTATTACGTTTGTATACAATGAGACAACGATATTCCATTAGATAAAGACGTCACTGTTAAAAATACTTCATCTCTTCTCTGTGTCACATTTATTTAATGGAAATATTTTACAAAAGACATATAAATGAATAACACCTTTTAATCCAAATTTGGATTTAGACACAGTAGGGCCAAACAGTGAATTTAGTTGTATAATGCAGCTGTTTCGCCCTCGTCAGTGATGCTAGACGCCTTTATCATGAAGCCTGGGAAGCAACCGAGGAAAATCCAAAGTGATCTAAAGAAAACTCAAAATCTAGATGTGGGAGGTACAATAGCTGCATAATTAAAAAAAATCGTAATTTCAATATATCAGGCCC